TGAGGTGGTCAATGTGAGATGTTTTTAGAAGTTTAAAATGTTTCAAGCGAAGGAATAAAAATAATGCTTCAAGCGAAGGAATAAAAATAATGCGCGGAAAAACGTTTTGGAAAGTACCAATTGCACTGTATAAGACACTGGGCCGTATGCTATCCCCCCCGAAGGGGTTGAGGGGACGAAAATCCCTTTAAATTTTCTCTGTCTTCCCAACTGGGATTGCCCTGATAAAGGGCCTACATTTAATGTATGTATGTAGGTTAAAGTAAACATGCACTGAAAATGAAGAAACTATATCGTTCAAAACAAATAAATTTAAAGGAAACTTTGATCACTAGCTTCGGGGAAGGATAGCATACGGCCCACTCTCTGTAAGCGTTGTATATGTGGATAATTTCTATTTTTCAAGTGTTCTGTTTCAGTCGGATGCCGAACGATTAGGCGCCGTGCTGACAGCCGCGTTGAAGGCGTCAGCAGATTTGGCACAGTCAACTGGTGATGATATAACGACTGGCTCGTCGATGTATGCACTAACGGAAGAAGCTGCTCGTCGTCTGGATCCACAGGCAGCGCCCTTAGGTGGTGGTGCTGGTGGTGCGCCAATGTGTCGTGTTGATCCGTTGAATAGAACGGAGACGGCACTGTCTAAGCTTGCTTTTGCGGAGGCTCCGATGATGCCCCCGTCCTCGTGAGCCATCCACCACCCGGTGTGGAGCACGCACGACCCTGCCCCGCCCCTGCTCTCACTCACCTACACTCACAGACACGCACACTTGCTGCAATGGCGTGGTTACGCTTAGCCGCCTTACTAGCGCTTGCCTCTGCTGTGGCCACTCAACATGGCACGGTAGGTCGTCCATGTGAGGTATCCACTGACTGCGGAACTGGTAACTATTGTGCTGGCAACAAGCGATGCGCCTGCCTCACCACATACGTTGAGATTGACTCGTACTGTTGGCGAAGTAAGTGTGCTTCTTACGTTACTGTTGTCATAGCATCGTGGGTTACATTTTTAGCAGGTTTTCCAATTAGTTTTTATCTCCTTGTTCTACTACATACTACTAGATTGAATAAGAATGGTGTATTTCTCACGGCGTATACATGATTTTTTCTTCTTCTTCTTCTTTCCTGATCATGATATTGTTTAGTCAATTGTTTTGATGTATTGTCGTTTGCATTCGCCGACGCCGCCATTCGCTGTTGTATGTTCGTCTAGGTTTGTCAGACCTGTTCTACACTCGTTCTATACCAGTTGTCGTTGCTAGTTATTTTGAAAAGAGTCCTACTACCCGGTCCCGGCTTTCACAGACTCATTCTCATACTGGCCTCAGCTGTATCCCGTAATCGCTCGTTCGTTCGCTCGCCGGCCCGCTCACGCGCCCAAGTGTAGCTTGAGTTAGAAGCACAATGTATTCCATGTTCGCCGTCCAACTTTCATACAACGCCTAACGTCCTTAATGCGAGTAGAGGTGTCATTTAGGAGATATATCCATTTTAAGAAAACTACCGACCAATAGGGCATGACGGTCCCGCCTTGGAAAAGGCGTTACTGTAATGTGCAATTGGTAGGCCCTTTCTTTCGTTTTTTATTTTTATTTTTTCGAAACGGGTAAATCTCCTAGATTCCACCTGAAAACACATTGCGTTCATGCAATGTTTTGCCAGGTTGTTGTGTGTTTGGAATCTGTCTCGTAAAAAGTGCTCTAGAATTCCCCTTATTGGCTTCATACACAGCGACACTGCAATATTCCATTTTTTTCTCGGCCATCTTCAATTTTCGTACGATTCCCATCTCTTGTGGTTCCCTTTTCGAATTGTTGTATTCTAATTTTTGCACATTCTTTAATTCTGATTCTACTGCTCCTTCAATAATGACGTAATGGTCGCGTTAAGACGGTGGAATGTAGAGATCAGCGTACGAAAGCGAGGTTTCACACGCACATCGTTTCTATTCCAACTCCCCGATTGATCCCCCCCCCCCAACTAGAGATATCTATTGTTTTGTTGCGGTTGGATGGACGACGTACATAAACCACACACATACATACTATACATACCATCACAGTTCCTTTTCCCTTTACCCATTCTGTCTTTCTGTGTCCATCCATCCACCCAGACGACCGTGCTACATATAAATTGTTAATGAATACGATTGGTGTATCAAAAGTTGTGCATCCTGATTAAATGAACATTATGTTGCTGATAATTGTTTCTTTATATGTACTACTTGGGTCTATGTAATAACACATCAGTCTCGATGGGTAAGGTATAGAAAAACAACTGACCAATAGAAGACGGAGGCCACGCCCCCAACATGTGTGATTGGTCAACTTTTTTCAACAACGTCCCTAGAATTTCTTTAGAAAAGAAAAGTTGTTCCTTTAGGGCTGTGAAAGGTCCACATCAGGCATTAAAACGTGCGATATTGTCGGTGAGTAGCTAAGGTCAGTTCTGTTCAGAGATCAACCCTGGCGAGTCGGGCTGCACGCAGAACCGGCAATGTGAAGCTGTATGGCCTGGCGCATACTGTCGGTCAGGGGAGTGCCGTTGTGCGAATAATCAGCCGCCATTCAGGACCAGAGATGGCTTGGTAAGCACCCTACAACGAAGAATTTTGGCCTAAGACCGATTTATGTGTTCAGGTCTGCCTAAATTATGGGTTCTGCCCGTTGAACGGTAACAATCCGAAGTTCCGTATTGAAAATCAAGTTCAGCAGTGTTATGGAGGTTAGCGTTTTGCTGTGTTGCGCTGCACCGATTCGGGACGGGTCCGTGAGATGAATGTTTGCAGGAGCGGACGCGACGTGCGAGGCTATCGGAGCTCTCGCCTATGATTGTGTTTGTGACTCGGATGACTGCACCGTGAACAATCCGATCAGTTTCTGTTGTCCAAGCAGAGGTTTGTTCTTTATATAGCAATATGAAGCTCTAATCTGAAATACTTTTCAGTGCGCGTGGAAGCACACTGCATGGTAGCAGATGAGGGTAATCGGGCTAGAAAATGAATTAATTTTTGACACTTCATCCGTCATTGAATCAGAAGGAAATGAAGTAGGCAGCTGAAAACACTGGAAGAAAACTTTCACTGTGGGCGGTAGGGAGGGAGGAAGAGGCAAGTCCACAAGCAGACTGCTCGATAGACTGGGTATCGAGGCGAGCAAGAATAGGGACGAGCAAGACGCAGACATCAACGCGTTTGCAAGTGTTGGAGTGGGTCCTAAGCTCTTCATGTCCTTGCCACGTGTTTTCAGTCACGCGATGGTATGACCTCTGCAGTTGCGGACCGCACGGTATCATTGTTCCATTAGTTTCATTACGGGTTGCCCTG